ATCAGCATATTATACTGATTTCTGAAGATCATGTGACACTGAAGACTGGAGTAATGATGCTGAAAATACAGCTGCACATCACAGACATAAATTACATTTGAACAGTTATTCACACAGAAAACAGCTATTATAAATTGTAATAATATTTCAAATTTTTACTGTATTTTTGATCAAATAAATGCAGCCTTGGTGAGCAGAAGAGACTTCTTTCCAAAACCATGTGTTGGGTGTATGAACATGGTCTTTGATAATTATACTGAAAAATTAAATGCACTAACTACTCTTTTAGCAGTTATATGAATTTATTTGAATATAATTTTAATTCTAATTCTGTAGATTGGAAATCAAATTGTAATTCTGCATTCCGTGTGTTGTGGCCAGTTCAGTTCAAATGACAGATTATGAACTGATATTAAGCCTTAAATTCTGAATTCACTTCAGCCTCAGTTGAAGCTCAATTGAATTTATATATAGAATATATAAAATAACTGCAGTTCAGTTCAGTTCCATTCAATAGTTTGGTAATTTCCAAAGACTCATGTTTTGAGTCTTTTTGAGTGATTTTAAACACAGCAAACATTTGCGCTTTGGAGATTTAAAGATTTATTTAGCTTTATCTGTTAACAATGCCTCATATTTCCAGCTTTATCCTTCTTTTATTCATCAGTTGATTTTATCCCTGATTATGATTTAGGAAATATTTGACTTCCTGTCGTCACTTTATCATCACTTCATAAGGTAACGAGCCTTTCAGATTAATTACAGTCATACAGACATACAGAATGTCATATTTACGAAATCCAGTGTATTTATTTATTGATGTTATTTATTAAATTAGCCACTACCACTGTGTTTCTGTGTTTAATGTGTTTAATCACCACAGAATGATTTATTTCAGAGTTAGTTTGTTGCCTCAGTATTGCTTTATCTGCATAAAATCAATACAATTTTTATCTTCACCATATTCAGATATTAAAGTCAAAATGACTTTTAATTTGTGTTTCTGGTTCGATTACCTGTGATTCAGTGGTGCACATTATTCTGAAGAAACATATTTATCTTTATATCTTTTTTGAATGTAATATTTTGCTCTGCCTCTGAAATGGCGTTATTTTTTAACTGATGTTGCTATAAATTTCCTCACTCTCAGGCCATCCAATATGTAGGTGAGTTTGTTCCTTCATCAGATTTGGAGAAATGTAGCATTGCATCAGTGTCTCAGCAATGGATGCTCTGCAGTGAATGGGTGCCGTCAGAATGAGAGTCCAAACAGCTGATAAAAACATCACAATAATCCACAGCACTCCAGTCCATCAGTTAATATCTGGAGAAGACAAATCTGAAACAAATCCATTATTAAGATGTTTTTAACTTCAAACCATAACCATAATCCATAATACACTTCCTCCAGAGAAAAAGTGTTCTGGTGTGAATCAGGAGAGAAATCTGCACAGATCAAGCAGCGTTTAAAAAGCTCTAAACAAATATGTGACTGGATTTTGATGTGAGAGACGACAAGAGATGCACTTTTTCACTCGAGGAAGCGTTATTATGGATTATGGACTCATATTTTAGTTAAAAACGTCTTAATGCTGGATTTGTTTCAGCTTTTGTCTTCTCCAGATGTTAACTGATGGACTGGAGTGCTGTGGATTATTGTGATGTTTTTATCAGCTGTTTGGACTCTCATTCTGACGGCACCCATTCACTGCAGAGCATCCATTGCTGAGACACTGATGCAATGCTACATTTCTCCAAATCTGATGAAGAAACAAACTCATCCTGATCTTGGATGGCCTGAGAGTGAGCATTTTTTCAGCTAAAAATCACTTCAGGTGAACTATTCCTTTAAATCACAACCACATGAAGAACAAAGCAATCACGTCCTGTATATGAGTTTATACATTTATAAGTGAGTTGTAGTACTTCATTATTTCTCTGTCAGTGTTCTGTTTGATATTTGTGGTATTTGTACAGCCAAGAGCGTTATAATGTTGATCATTTTATAAAACAAATATATATTTTGATAATCAATTACTTTTATCCAAATAGGAGAAAGACATTTTCATCATGCAGTTCATACACAGTAGAATTCGATGAAACTCTTCCAAGAGCCTTAGACTGTGTTTTTGGGTTGTGCTTTATGTTTTTGTTTGTTTGGTTTTGTTTGGCTGTAGTCAAAAAGCATCTGTGTTCACAAACACAATAAAATGAATGTCTCTCAGAGTCCATCTGTGCAACATGAAGATTTATTTGTATTCCACATTACAGCAATATTTTACTCTCATTGAGGTACAATTACAGTTTTTGTTAACATTTAGAATGTTTTTATTTTTTGTATTTTCTGTTTTCATTTGAGTTGTTTTTCATTTTATTTTTTATTTGTGTCGTTTTTGCTTTTTTTAATACAGTTTTAGTCTTAGTTATTTTAGTACAAGTTAAACTTTTATACAAGTTAGTACACGTTAAATGAGTTAAACTTTATTTAATTTCAGTTCATTTTATTTCAAGTAAAGGAAACATTTTTATGTTTTGATGGTTTTTGTTTTATTTATAATAACCCTGCAAACTTCAGCAGTAATTTCCGTTCAGAATGGAGTCATTGTACTTTATATGTACTACAAATAGATTGATGTTTACTGTAAATATTGTGTGTGTTTCTGCTTGTAGGTTTCCTTAGGCTTTGTATTTAGTCCATTATTTTGGTTTCCCAGGAGCAGCATGTAACCACATTCACATTCCCTCCAAACAGTCGAGTGAACTGATGAAGTGAAGGACAGCGAGGCTTTTGGCAGATCTTTGCTCTGTTCTGGGACTTTTGCTTTTGCCACATTTCAGTATGTCGATGGAGTGACCTGTTCAAGTCACACACATAACATTATTTATAAAGCTAGACATTTATAATTATACTGTATTTTGACTTTAAAATGACATTGTAAAAGTACTATATAAATATAGTCAATTATTAAAAAATTATATGTATTAATTAATTAAAATGAATAAAATTATATTATTAATAATTCTAAAAAATATTTATGGATGAAAACATTTATAATAATTTTACTTATTTATTTTTGGAATCACCCCCTTTTAATGCACACAATATAGTCGCTTGAAAATTCTCCCTACGCAGCAGTTTTGGTAAGAGATTATTTGGTTTATGCATTTATAATATTTCATGGTGCACCCTTGATTCACACATTTATGCTGTTTCTTGTATTTGACAGGTCTTTATGTGTAACGTGGCTGACGAGACGTGAGACGTGCGGATCCATGTGCAAGCTTTATTCACAGGCGTGGTCAGAAACAGGCATGGGTCAGACAAAGGCAAACAGGAATATGGTGGACAAGACACAAGAATAATCCTAGGGCTAGCGAAGGTCAACGAACGGCAAACAGAATCAAAAAAGGGCGAGACTAAAGGGATATATCCAGGAAACCAGGCAAGGATCAGAAACCGAGAAAACAGACAAGGCAAGACTAGGCTAAGGCAGGGTAAACTAACGAGGGCTCTGTAGTGTAGCTATCAAATGATAAGCGCTAAACAATACTCGGCGGCGGGAAGGGATCAGAGTGAGTGTTAAATAGTGAGTGAGTGATATGAAACAGCTGTGTGTAATCAGTGCTGTGTGCAATCAGTGAAACAGCTGTGTGCAATCAGTGCAATGAATGATGGGATATGTAGTCCGGGATGATATGCAACAGTGTGTAGTGCGAGAGTCAATGAAAATGGAAAGGGGGACCTCTGCTGGCTAGCAGATGGAAGTTCATGGACCGGATACGTAACATTATGAAGTATGGCTACAGATGATTGATTATAGACATTTATTATATTCTATAAGGTATGTTAATTTTTGTTTACCTTGTTTTTCATTGGTTACATTTACAATTTTATTTTCATATTGGAATTGATCCTAAACTGCATAAATAAATAAATAAATATTTTTTTATTTTAAAAAAATCATTATTTTTGTCTTGTTTTCCAGTAAAAATATCTAAATATTTTTTTAATCAAGATACATTTCCTTGAGAAACAAAACAAAAACCTGAAAAACTGAAATCTGAAACATGTTTCAAAATGTAATTAATTTTTGATCGAAACAAGAGAAAAATATATATCCATGAATATGATTTTTTTTTCTGTCCCTATTAGCAGATATTTTTTCATGTTTTAAACAAAAAGTAAAAAAGAAAAAAACTAGGTAAGAAAATGATTTTTGCAGTGTACATAGAGTATATTTAGCAGTAAAGCTGTTTGAGTAGTTACTAGATGATCCACTAGAGGGAGACACAAGAGTTCAGTTCAATCACTAACATTCAGCATTTACAACACTACAGAAAAGCATCACATTATAGAAAGAAACCAGTAGTTTAGATGTGTTGAGTGATTTAAAAAGAGCAAATGAAAGGTTTGAGTCTACTTAAAAAACTAAAGCATGACAAACCATATTGTGGTCTGAGAAATCCGGACTCCAGGATCATGTCGGTTCCCACAGTCATGGAAAACCTGGAGATGGCAGGGAAGTTTAAATCTGTGGTTTGCAGGCCTTGAGAAGTCAAGGAAAGGTCTTGAAAAATCATGGAAATTCACTGGTGAAGATGTGGGAACTTTGATTCATGTCCCGTCAGGTCTGTTATTATGATTTCAAGGAAAATTCACCCAGAAATCATGAACCGTCTCTCATGACGACCCAAACCACTGAAGGACTTTCATTCTTCTGTGAAACACAAAAGCAGATCAGAGATCTGTGAGCTTCTGCTGACCAAGTGTGTGTGAATGTGTTAAAATGCAATTTATTATGTATTTAATATTTTTCAGGATTCTTTGATGAATAGAAAGTTGAAAAGAGCAGCATACATTTGAAACATTATAAATGTATTTACTGTCACTTTGGATCAATTTAATGTGTCATTGCTGAATAAATGCATTTATTTGTTTTAAAAAAAAAACATCTTCCTAACCCAAATATAATTATTAATTTATCAATTTTAAATAATAATTATTATTATATGATAAATAATATATTATTATTAATATTAATAATAATATCTTACTAACCCCAAATATAATTAAACATTTACAAATATATATAATATAATAAATAGTATATTTATTCTTATTATTTATTTTAAAAAAATCTTACTGACCCCAAATATATAACAAAATATGTATAGACAATTAAAATCATATTGTGAATATACTATATAAATGTAGTGAATTAGTAAAATAGTTAAACAAAAAACATTATAGTAAATAAATATGTCAGAGAAGGAGAATGTAAATCTATGGAGTTATGTGGAGTCATATTTCATTAAATTTTTATTGTTTTTTAGAATCACCCTCCACTTTCACTGCATGGAAAACAGCAGCTTGAACATTCTTCCAAATGTCTTTTTATGCTCAACAGACACAATAAAAGACATGATCACGAATAAATGCTGACTGAATGTTCATGTCTGGATGAAGTTTTCTGCACAGAATAAGACTGTCCTGAAGCGCTTTCCTGATGAAACAAGCTGAAACAAGTGGGATTCCCCTCGTCTCGTAACATGTGCTTCAGCTTTATGAGCCAATCTGCAGCACAGCTGTGTGTCGCTCTGACTAACAGTTAACTGTGATATACGGCTCAACCGACGGAGGAGCATCCGCACTGATTTATGACAGATTCTGTCTGCTGCTGCATGATCGTCAGACGCTGGCCTGTCACTCAAAGCTTTTCAGAGTGCAAAAAAACAACAATATTCAGTGAGAAAAAGACTGATTTCATCCATAAGGAATTGACTGGATCACTAAAATTGGGCATTAGCAGAATGATGGAGAGGGATGGAGCTGAAAAATGGTGACAGTGAAAAAGAGTGGTTGCCAGGGACTTGCCATGCAGTCAAAATGACAGAAAAGACATTTATAATGTTACAAAATATATAAATAATTACATTTGGGGTCAGTAAGAATTTTTTGTAATAATAATAATAATATTTTTGAATTTATAATTAATATTTGGTTCAGTACGATTTTTTAAATAATAATAATAATAATAATAATAAACGTTATATTTATATTCGTACAACAGTTCTTTCTGGTCCTCGAGTCTGATTGCCTGAGAGCTTTTTCCAGCGGTGCGATATATTCTAGTAAACCGTTTCACTGTTTGTATCACTCCGCTTGCAGTATTTCTCACAGCAAGTGTCATGGCGGACGCCCAAATCCATTATAATTTCATAAATTATACTGTTTTTGTGTCACGGGATGTAGTTTTAAGAGTTTTTTAGGCGAGAATGCACTTGTTTAGACTTCAAATATGCAGTTTGTTAATAAAGATAGTGCAGTAGTAGTAAAGACTTTTATATTGAAAGAGACTGAAACAGGGTTGTAAACAAGGAAGCTATTTTTACTTTTTATAAACACCTTAAAAGATGCAGCCAACAAATGCACTGAGCAGCGCTGTAATCAGAAATCCCCCTTAACAGATGAAATGATACTACGACAAAGATATCGCTTTCCTCAGCGGACATTCAAACTAATGTTTTATTGTGAATATGAGATTGAGCTGAAGAATGAATGCTGTATCAGATGCAGGTAATCACACTCGCTGTCTATCTCTCTCTCATAATACTCTATTACACATAAAACACTGCTTTTAATACAGTAATCCAATGCAAGGGTGTAGAATTTAGTAGGGACATTATAGGGACATCCAGCGACTACTAAATTATCCTTAGCAATAATTTTGATCAAACAATTAAATATATGTGTATGTAACCACTGTTGTTGTAATTTTGGACGCATCTGAAATAGGTTATAAAATTGACATTATCGGAGAAGTTAAAGAAATACACTAGAAAACGGTTCACTTTCAATGAAGCACATTTAATACATGAGCGGAGTAAGAACATATGAGAGCCGAAGAGTTTCAAACACACGAGCACAGTTCAGATGAATGATAAAGTTTACCCTCTTTAACTTTATGTTGTTCTGCTGTTTTGTGTTCATCTGCTTCCCATTTGCTCTTTCTACATTTACTATCATTCTATATAGACTAATACAATCAGATAACCTCGATCGCTGGGTTGCATCGTATCATGTGTCGACTATAGTCAGAGATATTGTCAAAAGCATCAAATATTTGCAATATTAAGAGGATTTGGCATTTCCAATTAATGTAGTTATGTTACATTCTTCTTCTTATTAGGCCTATTATAATGGGTTACTTTTATTATTAAATTACAATAATTTGCCCCACAGTAATTGCATAGCGCATCACCGCATAACTGACGCACTGTGAGTGTGAGGCTATTAGCTTACTCCTCATTGAAAATGTTTTTAAAAAGGTATTTTAAAACAAGTCTATTAATTTATACAATGATGTATAAGCCTATAGTTAAAATTATTAACACTGCAATCATCAATGAAAATTAAGAGCAGCTTTATTTCAAGCACCGACTTTCAAAAACATGACAAAATGTCAAAACTAAAACAAAGGAAAAAAAAGTATACACAAATACAAATCCCTTAAGAAAATTAGCCATGGTTTTATTATAGTAAGTGTAGTAACCATGTTTTTTTTTTTTTTTGGTATAACCACAGTTTTACTACAAATACCATGGTTAAACTGTAGTAAATGTAGCAAAACCATAGATAATTTGTGGTTACCTTGTGGTATAGTAACCATGTTTTGTTTTTTTAGTAACCTTTTTTGTAGTAAATTCATGGTTAATTTTCATAAGGGATGTGTTGCCAGATAAATAAAGAAAAAAGTGATACATTTACACCTTAAGAGGACACACAGGATGAATATAGAGATGCAGTTTTGCACTGCTTTAGGATTAACAGAACTTTGAATAGTTTTCATTTACTCGTCCAGATCAACTCTGAATAAAGAAAAGAGAGATTTAGAGCCAGATTTGTGTTATTATGTATATGAAATTCAGCTAGCAGGAAACACAAATTAAGTTATATTTTCTTATATTCTCTTTTGAGTAGTCCAACAAACCAAAGAAACCATCTTTAAAACAGAATGAAAAGTCACTTACAAAACGAGATTAGATGAACATTGAAAATCAGCTTTGATCACAGCAATAAATTACATTTTAACGTATATTCACACAGAAAACAGATATTTTAAATAGTAAAAATATTTCACAATTTTACAGCATTTTGATCAAATAAATGCAACCTTGGTGAGCAGAAGAGACAGAAGTTTAATTAATGATCATTCAGAATGAATCGAAATGCTGTTGAACAGGACTGTTCATCGTTTTG